CTTCCCTTCCCTTCCCTTCCCTTCCCTTCCCTTCCCTTCCCTTCCTTCCCTTCCCTTCCTTCCCTTCCCTTCCCTTCCCTTCCTTCCCTTCCCTTCCCTTCCCCTTCCTTCCCTTCCCTTCCCTTCCCTTCCCTTCCCTTCCCCTTCCCCTTCCCTTCCCCTTCCCTTCCCCTTCCCCCTTCCCCTTCCCCTTCCCTTCCCTTCCCCTTCCCCTTCCCCTTCCTTCCCTTCCCCCCCCTTCCCCCCCCCTTCCCCTTCCCCTTCCCCTTCCCTCTCCCCTTCCCCTTCCCCTTCCCCTTCCCCTTCCCCCCCCTTGAAAGACCCCTCCCCTTCCCTTCCCTCCCTTCCCCTTCCCCTTCCCCTCACCTTCACCTTCCCTCCCTTCCCTTCCCTCCCCTTCCCCTTCCCTTCCCCTTTCCCCTTCCCCTTCCCTTCCTTCCTTCTTCCCTGGCTTAGTTTGGGACCTATTTGAATAGAGCTCAGGTTAAAACTGACTCAAGAAGGATTAGCAATATCCACAGAGAGATTATTATGAAAGAAATGGGGAAGACAAAAGATGAAATGTAAACAACCAACCAATAAATAAATAAATAGATAACATGGACAAATATAGACACAAAGAAGCCGAGTGAAAAACAACTACAGGGAGACTGAAAATAGGAATAAAGATTTATGTTATGTGTTTTAATAAAAAAATAAAAAATAATTAATAAAAAGAATATACCTATAAATCCTGATTATACCAACTTAGTTTCCTTGATATTCTATATATATATATATATATATATATATATATATATATAAAGCAATTATAATATGTTTTATACATTATAAGCAAATGAAAGATGATAATTGCTCACCTTAAATGAGTAATGTAGAGATGTCCTGGACTTTTAAGAATTTGTGTGTGTGTGTGTGTGTGTATTAACCCTTAATAAATTATTCATGTATGGAATTCCCTTTTTAGAAAAAACTGCTCTAAGAATCTTTCTGTGAGACCTGATCAAGATAAAGAAGCAAAGATATATAACTTAAATTAAGTACCTAGTACCTTATTCTCAGGAATACAGGCTTTTTTAAGAGAACTACTAAATAGAAGCAAGATAAACCAGAACTGACATTTATGGTTTATTGCTTCTATTAAGTTCAACACTACAGTTCCCCTTCTTTTCCTTGCCATCTCCTTCCCCCAACATGTAGCAAAGGCAATCAAAGCTCACTGATCTGGAAATCAAGTTGGGAAATGTGAGATGTTCAGGTCATTTATGAAATTTCTATTTTCTACTTTTATCTAGGAAAGAAATGTGAACACAATTTTTGGGGTTTCATTTCCAGTCATGCCTTGAACTAGAGTGTGCAGTCATAGAAATTCATTAGCTGAACATGTTGAACATCAAAAAGCTATACAGTTCACTGAAACTTCTGGGTGAAAGTTTAGGTCAGTCTCTCTTTTTTCAGAACTGGTGTGATACAATCCATAGGTGTGATACAATCATTCAGCAATAGTTGGAAAAGGCTAGGAAAGATTTAACAGCTTCATTCCCACTTCATGCAAACTAAAAAAGTTTGAAATCTAGAACAAATCAGTGTTTCAAGGTATATTTCAAACAAATGTATACTTCACAGAACACTTTAAAATATAAAGAATGGATTTATTTGGGCTATGCTAGAAATTAATTTAAGCCAATATTCTATGACCTTGGCAATATACTTATGGAAGTCCAGACTAACACTTCCACCAGCGTACAACAGCTTTTGAAAAGCTGCTACTTAAGACCTTCCCGAGTGAAGACTACATTCATATCATAACAGCGCTTGCTGGACATTTGTCCTATGAATTTGTCTAATCTAGTTTTGATTCCATTTGTACTTTTGTCATCCAAAATATCCTGTGGCAATGAGTGCCAGAATTTAATTAAACATTCTGTGAAAAACTACTTCCCTCGATTTGTTTTAAACCAGCTGCCTTGTAATCTCATTTGCTGCCACTACTTTTTGTGTTATGAGAAATAGTGAATAATAGTTTCTTGTTCATCTGTTCCATGACATTCATTATTTTATATACCTTTATCATATCCCACCACCTGTTCTTTTCTGAAGCTGTCTTTTTTCTATTTAATTGGTCTTTCTACAGAAACCATTTTATATCTCATAGCATCCCCTTCTGTATCAATTATATCCTTCTTGACAGCAATTGTATGCCATATTTGAGATATAGGAATACTACAGATATACTAGTGTTACAGCAATATTATCTCTCTCTTTTTTTTTTTTTTTTTTCTCCCCTCTATTCTTAATAACTCTTAATGTACGATTCATCTTTTTTGACCTCAGAGCTGGCTTTTCCAAAAAGCTATCTAGATCTCTCTCTTGACTGATTAAGGCCATTGAGGTGCATGTATAACTAGAATGATAATTCCTCATGTGTCATAATTTGCAATTTTCAACCTTTTTTTTCCAGCATTTTTCAAATTAGTGAGATTCCTTTTCAGTTCTTTCAGCCAAGTTAATTTCTGACTATTCTTAAAAATTTAGTATCATCAACAATCTTTGTCATGCCACTACTCATGCATCAGTTTTGTTTTTCATAGATACCTTGAGCTGCACAAATACTGACAAAACTTTCCTGATGCCCCATCTGATACTACCATTAAAACCCGCGATTTATCCCTACTCCTTTTTTCATATTAGGTAACTAGCTATTAATACAAGAGATGACCTTTCTTTTTTCCAATGACAACATTAAAAAGGCCCTAAAAGGTTTGTGAAATATTCCTTCCCTCTGAAAAAGCTATCTCAGTGCTTCTACATTACGTTTCATTCCCCACATCTATTAATTCTATCATTTTGGTAATATTTCTTGGTGAAGAATAAAACCTACATGTAGAAAGACTGACCTTGTGGGTTTTGTTTGTTCACAGAATCACAGAATTGTCTACGTTGGAAGAAACCTTCAAGATCTTCGAGTCCAACCTCTGACCTAACACTAACAAGTCCTCCACTAAACCATAGCACCGAGCTCTAAATCTAAACATCTTTTAAAAACCTCCAGCGATGGTGACTCCACCACTTCCCTAGGCAGCCCATTCCAATGTCTAACAACCCTTCAGTAAAGAAGTTCTTCCTAATATCCAACCTAAAACACCCCTGGTGCAACTTTAGCCCATTCCCCCTCATCCTGTCACCAGGCACGTGGGAGAATAGACCAACGCCCACCTCACTACAGCCTCCTTTAATGTACTTATAAAGAGTGATAAGGTCACCCCCGAGCCTCCTTTTCTCCAGGCTGAGCAAACCAAGCTACTTCAGCTGCTCCTCATAAGATCTGTTCTCCAGATCCTCACCAGCTTCGTCGCCCTTCTCTGGAGTCGCTCAAGCACCTTGATGTCCTGCTTGTAACGAGGGGCCCAAAACTGAACACAGCACTCAAGGTGTGGCCTCATGAGAGTCTAGTACAGGGGGACAATCACTTCCCTAGCCCTACTGGCCATACTGCTTCTTATACAAGCCAGGATGCTGTTGGCCTTCTTGGCACACTGCTGGCTCATATTCAGCTGACTATCAACCAATACTCCCAGGTCCTTCTCTGTCAGGCAGCTGTCCAACCACTCATCTCCCAGCCTGTAGCTCTGCTTGGGGTTGTTGTGTCCCAGGTGCAGGACCCGGCACTTGGCCTTGTTGAACTTCATACAACTGACCTCAGCCCATCAGTCCAGCCTATCCAGATCCTCCTGCAGAGCCTTCCTACCCTCAAGCAGATCGACACACTCACCTAACTTGGTGTCATCTACGAACTTACTAAGGGTGTACTCCATCCCTTCATCCAGATCATCGATAAAGATATTAAAAATGACTGGCCCCAGTTCTGAGCCTTGGAGGACGCCATTAGTGACTGGCTTCAAACTGGATTTGACTCCATTCACCACAACTCCTTGGGCTCAGCAAGTTTCTAACCCAACGAAGCGTACGCCAGTCCAAGCCATGAGCAGCCAGTTTCTTGAGGAGAATGTTGTGGGGAATGGTGACAAAAGCCTTGCTGAAGTCAAGGTAGACCACATCCGCAGCCTTTCCCTCATCCACCCAGCTTGCTACTTTGTCATAGAAGGAGATCAGGACCTGCCTTTCATAAACCCATGCTGACTGGGCCTGATCACCTGGTTCCCCTGCAAGCGCCGCATGATGAAAATGATGAAAATTTTGAAAATGATGAAAATGTTGTTTGTTTGCTTTTAATTTGTTTGTTTTTAACATCTGTCGTGGTTCCGCTCGAGTGGGCAGCCGAGCTCCACCACAGCCGCTCTCTCACTCCCCCTCCTCAAAGAGGAATGGGGAGAAAATATGAGAAAAGGGCTTGAGGATTGAGATAAGGACGAGAAAATCACACAATAATTATTGTAACGGGTAAAACAGACTCGGCACAAGGAGACAGTAAGATTTATTGCCTATTACTAACAAGCTAGAGAAGTGAGAAACAAAGGAAAGAAACCAAAAGCACCTTCCCCCTCATCCACCCTCTTCTACCTCCTCCCCCTGAGCGGCGCAGGGGAATGGGGGAATGGGGGTTATGGTCAGTCTACAGCGCTTCTTCTCTGCCGCTCCTTCTCGGTCACTCTCGTCCCCTGTGCTGTGGGGTCCCACCCACGGGATACAGTCCTTGATGAACTGATCCGGCGTGGGCTTCCCACAGGCAGCAGCTCTTCCAGAACTGCTCTAGATATGGGTCCGTACCACAGGGTCCATCCCTCAAGAGAAAACTGCTCCAACCTGGCTCCCCTACGGGCAGCAGCTCCTGCCAGGTCACCTGCTCCTGCATGGTCTCCTCTCCAAGGGCTACAGGTCCGGCCTGGAATCTGCTCCGGCAGGCGTCTTCCACTGACCGCAGCCTCCGTCGGTGCAGGTCCTCCTGCTCCACCGTGGTCTCCTCCACTGGCTGCAGCGTGGAACCCTGCTCCACTGTGGTACTCCATGGGCTGCAGGGAGACATCCTGCTTCACCATGGTCCTCACCACAGGCCACAGGGGACTTCTGCTCCAGCGCCTGGAACAACATCTAAGGAACAGCAACTACCTTATATTTTTAGGAGAGTCAAGGATTCTGAAATGAAACAAACAAACAAAAATGTCCCTCCACATATGGTGAAAGCAAGACAATATTTGTTACAGATAATTACGTGATATCAGCCATTTCAGAGAACTTTAAGCATCCTTCTATGCACTGGACTTAGAAAACTCTGCACTTAATAATGATTCAAATGTGGTCTTTCCTGACTAAAGGAGTAGTTTTTCTTGTGCTTAACTATTTTATCTAGGGGTCAAATAGGCATTACCTTGTATCTTTCAGGAATTAGCAATTTCTGGAACCATCATGCTTAGTCAAAGAGAAGCAAGGGACTTAGAGCAAATAAGTCACTCATTCAGGAGTGAATCATTGTCTATTGGTGAGCTTTGTCCTTCTGAAAACATAGTGGCTATAATAGAAAGGGGTGATAACTTGTTCTTATAAAGGTGGTAGCTGAAGTTTTCTTCTTTCCCTGCAAATATAAGAAATTGTTTTGGAGTTGCTGTCCCAAAAAAGGAAAGAAAGAGGAATCCGCAGAAATTTCAATTTTACCTCTGAGACATACAGAATTAATCCTTCAAACTTTTTCCAGTGTTGAACCAATAATATTGAACTGAGTTCAAAATAACCATAAACTAAGGACCTGACACAGTAGCAAGAGTCAAAGCAGGGAAAGGAAAAAAGAAAGATGGAATACTTGAAGTGAAGCTAAACAAGACTGATAGGGTCCTTCCATCACTCAGCAAAACATCTTTACATCTTTTAGATTGTCACAGTGAAAACATGTAAGATGTCCAAAAAGCAAGGTAAGGAAAAAAAAAAAGTCTGTTAGTCCAACATAGAAAATTAACAATTCATATAATAATCAATTAGAATTTATCCTCCAGCCAAAAAGCACTGTGAATACCAAGAGGAAGATAATAAATACCATACATGATGACTGTGACTCAACCTGGAAACACAATCAACATGGCTTTTTTGTTTGTTGATTGGACTTTTTTTTAATGTTTTTATTTGTTTGCTGTTGTTGTTTTGTGAAGTCAATTTTCACAATTTTCACATCCCATCTTTTTTTTTTTTTTTTTTTTTTTTTTTTTTTTTAATTTCTTGGAATTTACATTTCTACAGGCTTCACCCCTGAGATGTATTTCAATTATTTTATCAAAATGGTTTGCTTAAATTAATGGTTCCTGTGTTCCTGGTTACTTCACCCAGTAATATTTCTGTATGAAATTAAATTCATCTAAAATCCTCCTAGCACAAATATCATGCATGCAGAAGTCTACAATATCTGATTAGTTGTAACTGGTTTTGGAGCTAACTAAGCTAACTATGAGAACTTCAAAGACAATTCATTTAGATTCAGTTAGAGTCTCGTTCTTTGGAGATACTCAGAACCCACCTGAATGCCATCTTGCACAACGTGCTCTAGATGATCCTGCTCAGCAGGGGGGTTGGACTAGATCTTCAGAGGTCCCTTCCAACACCGGCCATTCTGTGATTCTGTGATTCTGTGATTCTGTGATTCTGAGATTTTCTTTAAACAGTAACCACCAAATACATTCATGCATGGATACTAAGACATCCAATTGTGTGCACTTAATTGCTGTTGTTTAATTAATGAGTATAAACCTGGGAACTGTAAAATACTAAGATGTATTTTTCTAATAAATTAAATGTTAAGCTTTGTACTTTTCAAAAGTGAATACTTGCTACTTGTTGGTTGGAACAATAGCTTTTTGCCACCAAAAATAATTCATTTAAATCAACATCAGTTTATGCAGTTTCTTTTTTTTTTTTTTAAACCTAAAATTCAGAAATTAATTTTCACATTCCCATTAACATCTTCAAAATCTTTCTAGGGCATTGGCACTGAGCTTTTGTTGTTGCTGTCTAGAAAAATTTTGTTCTTGCATTAGCACTGAGCTAGATTTGGTCACACTCAATTATAATCTCTTAATGGTAACATTTGTATCTGAAAAAAACTCACACAACTCTTTTACTACGGTAGATCTGTAATGCATTAATTTAACAATATCAGTAATTTCAGCATAAAACCTTCAGAGAAAGCAAGTTGAGAATTTAGTAATTATATCTCCCAAGGTTGTATTTGAGATAAAAAATGATTATTATTTTTTTCTCTGACAGGTAAATAAACAGTTTCTCTTAATTAGGTTAGATTACAGGAAATAAAGGTGTTGTTGAAAACAGAAATTGAGAAGAATATTGTCTTTTATCAAGAGCAGTATCATGTAAATGTCTTAAGCTGTCTAGTTAACCATGATAAATAGGTTGGGGTACATGCACACTTTAATTACTAACAGTGAAATCTGCTGAAATTGAAGTATTGCACTTGGTAAGAGCTATTAAAGTTGAAATGACCCATTTAATAGTGACCTGTGATATCAAAGTATGGATTTAAATTGGTAATTAATAAAAGTCCATTTCTGAAAATGCTAACACAAGAGCTCAATAAAAATGCTAACTAGGTCTCAAATACCACAGACAGTTTACTGACATTTTAATACATATTACTTATGCTAAACACTTTTGTACACTGAGAGCTAAGGATGAGAGGATAACAATGGATGTATTTCTCATCTAGCAGTTGGAAGATCAGTAGTACACTTAGCATACTAGTTCATTTTTGTAGGTTTTAATCCTGCTTAATAATAGTGGAACACGGCATGATTTCTTTTTGAAGCTGCATTTATAAAATGAACTATTTTATCTCAGACTGCAGAGAACAAGAATTCTGGTAATAAAAAAAAAAAAAAAAAAAGAGTAGAAGAAGAAGAAAAATAAGTAGTTCTCATCAGACTATATTTTTAATGTCCGGGAGATGAGTAAAGTAATCTCTTCATGATTTAATAGTGAAACTGTTGCTGCTAGTATAAAGACAGAAGTTGACATATCTGTCTGGTTACTTCCACACCTATATCTAGCAACTGACATTTCAAAGGCTCAAAACAACTTATGAAATCCTGCTTACATGTGTCAGGCAGTGCAGAATTTTGTCCATTGTTCCACAGAACAGAACAGATATTTCTTGAGAAAAATATCAACTTCAATTTCAAATCATAGTGCCTTTTCCTCACACAAACCAAAGTTTAATAACTCAATTCAGCAAGATATTACAGTGTATTTTTAAATCCATAGGATTAGCTCAATGATACCCTAAATGTATAGTTATCTTCATCACTAGATAAGGTGCTATCATATAATGTTCAGATGAATTGTGAAACTGGAATATAGCTGCTAAGTTGTACTAGACATCTCCAGAAGGCAATAAAGCATTTTTCCCTCCTTGTACATCAACATATGTTTTCCCGATGTTAAACATCACTTTTAGGCTGGTGATTATATGTGTACCTTTCACTCTGACTCTCTCTCTGTGCCTCTGTCTTCTGTAGATATATATAAATGTACTTAAATATATATATATACATGTATATTGTATCTTGTTAAACAGACTAATTTTTCATTGATTTTTATTTATTTATTTTTTTTTTGTAGGAATGGCATTATTTCAATTTCTCTACAGCTATAAAACACATATATTGTAAATAATTCTTTATGCTGTTAATATCTACTCCTGGAGATAACAAAACTTCAGTTGAGTTTTCAAACGTATACACTTGAAATTATCAACTATTCATGCAGAATACAATTATGTGTATACCGAGTAGATGCTGAAAATAAGTCTTGAAAGGGGAGACTGACACAGGAACAAGGACAGGAAAAAAAGGAATTAGCATTGAGTTTTAGTGGATGGTAAGGCGTCTGTGTCTTTGGGTGATAAGAGTTTTTAGAAGCATTGGACATTTATTAGATTACTCATTGTCTCTGTATTGTATGGACTGCTGGAAGATACTCTTTCTGTGACTTAAAGAGAGCTAGTTCCAAGCACTATGGAAATGAACCAATCTGTACCACTTTGACTTGGACAAAGGACTGCATGTTATACATAGTCTGCTTGACTAAGTGTTGTTGGCTATTAGTACATGTCCTGGTTTCGGCTAGGATAGAGTTACTTTTCCTCCTATAAGCTGGTATGGTGATGCGTTTTGGATTTAGGATAAGTATATTGTTGATAATACACTGTTGTTTTATTTATTGCAGAACAGTGCTTATGCAGAGCCAAGGACTTTTCAGCTTCTCACACTGCCCTGCCAGTGAGGAGGCTGGGGCTTCAGCAGGAGCTGGAAGGTGACAGAACCAGGACAGCTGACCCAAACTGGCCAAAGGGATATCCCGTTCCATATGGAGTCATGCTGAACAATTAATATGGAGTGGCTGATCCCGAGGGGGATGACTGCTGCTTGGCGACAGACTGGGCCTTGGTCAGCGTGTGGTGAGCAATTGCATTGTGCATCACTTGCTTTCTACACATTATTATCACTATTACTACTACTACTACTATCATTAATATTAATATTAAGGTCAATATAAATATTAAGATCAATACCAATATTAATACCTATATTATTGGTATAATAGTAATAACAATAAAATAATATTAATATAATATTTATAACATTAATATCAATATTAATGTTATTGTTACTCGTATTATTTCTCTTTCTTTTCCATCCTATTAATTTGTCTTTATCTCAACCCACAAGCTTTTACTTCTCTTTCTGATTCTCTTCCCCATTCCACTTTGGGGGGGGGGGGGGGAGGTAGGTGTTAGCAAACAGCTGTGTGGTGCTGAGCTGTTGGCCAGGTTAAACCACAACAATGTGTTTAGAACTAGAAACCTGGAAACTAAACTTAAGCATCCATATATCTTCTTTTGAGTCTGAATAGTCACTTTATTATGAATTTGGGAAAAAACTCAAAGCAACAGTTTTTATGTAATGTGAGTGATGATATAGGAATTTCTCTATAATTGTGGAATATAAAATTGCAAAATATTTCACGAGTCTGACCACTCTAGTCATCTCAAATGCAACTATTTCAAGTCATACTGAAGATACGTTTTTTTTCAGCATAATATGATGAACAGATGCATTTGATTGCTATGATTGCAAGGA